CCGTGCAAGGACCAGGGAAGGTCCCGACAAAAAAAAAACAGAAAAAAGAAATCTAAAAAATCTGGAAAGAAAACTACATTATGCAGAAAAATAAACTGAATAGCTTTTGCATCAGGGTCACATTACCAAATTTTTTGAAATAAAAATTAAAATTACAACATAGTTTTTCTATTTTTCTATTTTATTTATTTTTGACCTGGCCGGGCAAGTGGCCCCGGGCCACTCTGGTAGCCTAGCCCAGAATGTAATAACCCCCACTAACCAGCCATATCAATGGCACCAGGGCGTGGAGGACGGGCAGGAGGAAGAGAGAAACAATGAAAGAAAGATAGGCAAAATAACCTACCTGGCAAAGCACCTCATCTGCAACCCAGTTCCCAACGCCAGCCAAAGTGCGCTGCATCCGTTCGAAGCCCACCCATACACCACAGAGCAGTTCCAGTGAGATGATAAAAGAGCAATGGCAGTGCAATAAACCCAACATGAGAAGCTCACACCATCATCATCATATGCAATGCTCACATTGCCTCACAGTGCTCAACTAGATGACCTGTTGCGGCTTCGCTCGAAGAAAACAGGAGGGAATGCCAAAGACGATGTGTTCCCTTTGCCCTTTCTTTGCGCTAGTTGACTACCTTGCTGTTTGTGATTTCCGTGGGTACTAGGGTAGTGTTTACACTCTCAAGAGTCTCAACATTTCTTTTTCTTTTTTTCAGATGTGGAATGCATCTAATCATCCACACAGAATTAGCATGCTATCATGATACAATCCGAACAGTCCGAAGCATACATGTGCGCATCACATGCGCGCCCCTTGGGGACATGTGGCGCACAGCACATGCGCATGTGATGTGGCGCACCCCGAAAAACAGGGGTTGGAAAAGAAAAGGGGAGGGGCGGGGTGTGGTAGCACGGCCCACCCCTCCCCTCGTAAAAATGTTTGGTGACAAAGGGAAAAATATTCGGGGCCACGCTCAACTGCAGCCCCCAAATAATTGGGTGTGTGCGTGGATTTCATGCACCTGGAATGTATTAATATTAATTAATAAATTAATAATTATTATTAAACTGATATATCAGGTCAAGTGCAGTCATTGCGAATGTGCTTGGTGCCGTCTCCAACCGGAAGTTCCCGTTCAGACAGTCTTGTTTTTCTCTTTTCATTGCTAAGTCTTTATTGTCTTTTTGCTAAGAATAATGAGGAGGTCATGAATCGTGCCAGTAATTCCAGTCAGGGCGTATTCACGCACCCCCAAAGTCCGAGTTCTTAGAGTGCCCATGTTCCAAATCACGGTCAGATACATTTTTGGAAAACCCCTCAGCTCGTAGGGCCTATTTACACGCCCTCTCCAGTCCGAGTCGCACCAGTAGTTCATGAAACAGATGGTGTTAGCTCAGAAAATGAAAAATAAAAAAGAAAACAGCTGTGCCACTCATCAAACAGTCACTGGCCCTTGTTGCATGGAACACGAGATGGTGTAACAACGACTGCATCTGCCCGCAGTGGTGGCAAGATACACTCGTTACTATTCCTAGTGAACAGGTGTCCAGCTTTCGTTTTCCTTTCTTCGCGTTTCTGTTGCCTTGTTGGCGAGGCCCATTACCCCAATCCGATGTCTGGATTTGAAATTTGAATGTATGAAGTTACTTTTTCTGGTCCAATACAGTCACAACGCGTGCAAGTTGTGTTTTGGACAGTAAATCTGACGACTATATTTCTGACAATATTTCTAACGACTAGTCTGGTGGTCCATTTTGTTTTTGTGTCGGGTACACTACGAGTCCCCATCACGACTGCATTGATGAGTCACACGGGGTGGCTTGGATGCACTCACACAGGGTGGCCGCCACTCCACAAATCGTGGAGTCCCTGAAGTGGCCGTTGCACGTCCTCTCTGTGGACTGGATATACACAGGCAGCTTTTCAGCACTGATGCGTCATGATGAGGGTTCGAACTTCGAAGTTGATGTTCTTTTTTTCTTTTTTCTGTCAATGGAGACGTTTTGTGTCTCAACCGCGGTTTTATTTTGGCTGTCCTTTCTTCATGCACGGCGTTTTGTCTCTCTTTCACAAAAACACACACACACACAAAAAAAAAAAAAAAAAACTGTGCACCGCTTGCGCACGAAGTGTACCTCATGCGCACCGCACGTGCATCTCCACATCCACACACTGCACCGCACCGCGCACCACACAGGTGCACTGCAAGTATGGTCCAAACTTCCAAAGTAATTTAGTGTTGGAATGATTAACAGTAGTAGGCGAACTCCAACATTATAATACCTCCCAGTGTGTTTGGGAAGCACTGTGAGCGGTAATTTAACTCCATGCACAGGTCGCTCGTGATCCATGCTGCAGTATGAACTCTTCACATGCTCAAGTTTGGGACTCCTCCCCATTCATCTCCAGCCCCAACACAAGGGAAGCCCCACCTCCAAGGCGGGAAGAGCCCATTCCTCCTCGCACTCCTTCAATCACCACTCTCCACCTCCTCTTCCGCCAGCTTTTCATGACCCTTTCAAAGTGCTTTGCCACCTCCCCCCTTCCCTTCCTCCCTTGTTCACCTCCGCCGATTTCATCCTCTCGTTCATTACCTCCAGTCGCCCTGCTGATTGTGAATTTTGTTCCCACAATATATTCATAGGCGCACTCACCCTCCTTCTGTCATCCAACTCTTTGGACGCTTCCACATTGTGCTTGTCAAGAGGGGGGAGAACGGGTGTGGTGTGGGGGAGGAGGAAGGAGGCAGAAAAAGACTATGCACCTGTAAGACACTACTCACCACTGCTCCTCCTCTTCACTCCCTTCTCATTCCCAGACTTTCTGCCTTCCTGTACATGACGTCCACACCTGACATTCTGCCAAACTCGGCTGGAAACTGAAGTCTTTTCCCCTCCCGATCCTCCTTTTTCATTACCCCCTCACTCTCTTCTTCTGCCTACTAATGCAAACAAATTGAAACAATACAGTGGCACTTGCTACTTCTCCCCACCTGTCCTACTTGCTCACTTACTGCTTCTCCACATTGTCTCCCACATTTCTGCCCACCTCATCTTCGACCGTTACATTCCGCCTAAAACCTGAAACAAAAAAGGCATCAATAACAGAGGGGGCTCCAACAGAAGCCATTCTTGATTTTCCACATTCATTAAATTTCCTCTCGCCGTACTCTTCCGCCATATTGTTTTGAGATTCCATAACACATTTATCAAGGGCTGAAACCTGAAAAGGAAAAGCAATCTGCATATAAGTTGTTATTTCTCCCCATCCTATTCCTCTAATCTGTTAAGCGGCAAGAGCCCACGATATGGAAGTCCCTCTGCTCCCCACAGCTCCTCCCTTCATCCTTCTCCCTTTCCTGTTCCAAACTCCCGTTTGTGATCGCCACCAGCACCTTCCGCCCTGCAGCACTCATTCTCTTTCCCCTCCTTTTCGTTCATAAACTTCATGAGGCTATGAGCTCCCACAACCTTGTTCTATAGGGATTGGGGGGAAAGGATTCACTTGTTTGCAGCCACCTGGACTCAGTGAGGAAAAACAAAAACCCGAAAAGCAATAATTACCTCTCTCTCTCTCTCTCTCTCTCTCTCTCTCTCTCTCTCTCTCTCTCTCTCTCTCTCTCTCTCTCTCTCTATCTATCTATCT